TACGCACGAGGTGGCCTCAACTAAAAGCCTGGTGGTTTCTAAAGGTCACTTCGCCATACATTGAAATATTTACAAATAATTACTGTATTAGGTAAAAAGGCAAATAAACAGAATGAATGAAAGATGCACGAAGACAAAACGCGTTGTGTCGTCGTCTCCGTGAACTGGGTCAGAAATAATTGAACTCACAGATATTGCTAAGCAACACGATACATTCCTATAGCAACATGCTGGCCAACCTCGGTCTCTTTGAAATTAGGGAAAGGCCCTGGGAACGAGGTTGAAGTAAAAAATAACTGCCGCTTATTTTGAAAGGCTTTTCAAAATGCCTTTTTGCTTACTGGTTTCGGCAAATCGCTCCTGCTTCAGCTTTTACCAAATTTCTTGCCTGTAAAGGCAGTCAAGAATGTTCCGCCCCTCCCAATTTCAAAGGGAAAATCCCTGGAACGAGGTTTCAGCCGGCGGGCTCTGGCGGATCAAAAGCCAGACTTAGGGAGGTATGCGCGACATTTATTTGGAGTTGTTTGTTTTTCCTATTTTGATAATAGCCAACTGCAGAAGTTAAGGAAATTCTCAAGTCAACGACAACAACTAACCTGGATAAAAGATACACTTCGAAGTTCTACGTGAGTATTGTCTAAATAGGAAATGCATTAATGTTTTTAAACCGGTGGGGGCGTACAAATTTCTAGCTTTCGCACTGTCCTTGTGTGACTTTCTCCCAGGCATTCATGGTCAATTGATTTCGGTGGCGTAACTGAGCTAAACGGTGACTGGCAGCTCAGCGGCTTTTGTGACAAGTCAACAATAACGCCAAAAATGTTGANGTACAAATAAAGTTATTTTAATATCTATTTTTAGCACTTCAAAGAAAACAACTCTATTGTGAACTACTTCGTATCTGGGGCAGGAGGTGGGAATTTTCAAAGACGAAGCCATTGGAACAAGGAGCATCACAAGATTGTCAGCAAAAAACTCAAGTGAGTAAATTATGCCAATGGTACTTCATTCGGCGATTTGACTTGGTAACATTCTGTGTATGTAAGACAGAGTCCAGTACAGGTTTCTCTTTCTTTGCAAACAAATGTTTGTTGTGTTTTCAACTCCTCTCAACATTCTCTCTTCAAGTCATTGCTCGTTATTTCAAAAAAGACTACTGTGGAATCTCGATTTTTTTCGAGCCCGCAAGAGAAACGAAGATTCATTAGAAAAATCGGGGACGAGCTTCAGACACCGGAGGTAAAATTAAAGTATCTGATTG